GGCAGGGCAAGTAACCTATGTTAATTGGAAACCTTTTCTATAATGATCTTTTTTGGGACCCAGTTAGAATTTTGATTTAGTTTGATAAGCTCTGGTTGGTGTCTATTTATGTTTATTGTACATTGCGGTCATTATTGATATGGGATGGAAGAAACTTTTTATGGAAAATAAACGTCAAAGACAAATTAAGTTATAGACTCACTGCCAAGTCTCAGAATTCATATTAATGTAAAGTGGATTTAGGCTTCTGTTACATAGAGGTTAGTAATGTCTTTTTCACCCAGGCCAAACATAGAACACTGGCAAACATAACTGAGTATCTCACTAAATGCTTTTTGAAAATAATAGATAGTTGCCATTTTAGAGTTTACAAAGTGTTGCTCACATTTTGTCCTCCCAGTAACCATATGAAGTCAATAATTTTGCCCGTTTTACAGATGAGTAACTTCAAGTTCAGAAAAGCTGAGGAATTTCCTCGGGATTATTTGATTTGCAAGTGTCAGAGAAATTTGAATCTAAGGCCCATACTCTCTTATTTACATGGCCATGATATGTTCCTTAAATCAAAAGAATCATAATATCTTTTTATATAGATTTTCTCTGTAGTATTTCTACTGTATTCTACCCAACTGCAAAAATCAACAATGATTTTGAAGAGTAGGCAAAAGTGGGTCCAATTCTATAGGCTATTATGATGTTAGATTCTAGAAAGTCTTTCTTTCACCTGTGTATTATCTTACTAGTTTTCAAGAGTCATTTAATACAACCTATTTGGCTTTCATCAGTTTTGTTTCTCTTACAACATTTGTAATTAAAATCCACTGATATTACTTTTTGTGTTCATGGTTTATTCCAGCTGCCTCTGATTTTTGATGTAGGTAGCTAAGAGAATACAAGTATAGCAAAATTCCATGGGTTTGCATAAAATCCAGATTCTAATGAGAATCCAGGGAAAAGGGAATAAAAGAGGCAACACAGTTTCTGAATTTTTCATTTCTCAGTTCTCATTTGTCATGTCTGGAACTCATTTTGTCTTAGGCTTCATGGCCTGATGCTGTTTCTGACGCTAGTTTAATCCACACTTTAAATAAGCTAGTTGAGTTCTCTTCTTGGTAAATGTCAAGGGAAGAGAAGGTATTTCATGCACCTACAGCATCCTGAAAATCCTTACCAAATCTACAAATCTGACTCTGCATTATCCTTCCCCAGAAGGAGAGCATAATTTCATTATCTATGAATCATCACCTCTTAGACTGTAACATCATTGTCAGAGAGCCTAATAGAATAGTGTTCAGCTGACTGGAAAGGGGGAGGGAGGGAGAGAACGCTGGGGCAAAGCACAGGTCACTGGCATGGTAACAAACTGGAGAGTTCCAGAGCTGGATGCGGAGGCCTCACTCACTCCACAGCTCAGACACTCCTGACTGGTAAATAACTGATGCTGGTTCTTTCAGTATTAATATTGAAATTTGTTTTCCCCAACTTATTAAATTATATTTCAGTATCCTGCCTGTGGAAAATATTCACACTTAATGAAAATATCAGAATATTTGGCCAATGTTGATGATTATAAATACTTAAAAAAATATGTCTTATCGATTTTTGTTGCATTATTACTTGCTCTTCATCTTTGGACACTTATTTCTAGCCCTTAGTTCCAGTTCTGTGGCCTCTGGGCGTTACTAAATAAGTCAGTATACAAAATATAACTTAAAAAAATTGTACTATAACCATGTTTCCAAGGGAGATGAACTAAATAAAATTAAAATCTGATTCATGGATTGAAAACCATATGTTGTAAACCACATTTACATAAGGGTTCAGGATAAAAAACTAAATAAAATGTTTGAATAGCTGTGGTTAGTCTAACCAGCCACTGGAGGTCGCTGACGCTCCACAGTAATACAGTCTATTGCCTGTCTATTTAGGCAGTTGACTCACTGAATCAAGAAAAAATGGTTTAAATTCTTTGAAAAGATGTGATGTCAACATCCTTGGAAAATATAAACTCATTTAAAAGAAATATATCTTGCATAATTATTGCTTGGAAGACTGGCACTTGGACTATTAACTCTATGCTGCAGTAGCACTATGCGTACCAGGGCTCATAAAAATTTGGGGATAAAACCCATACAGTTCAGAGACTAAACTGTATTTCCTCTCTCTCTGGTAAAGCATTCGAAGACTGAATCCGTTCTTCTTTGATACATCTCTGCTGTGTGTTTCAACAGGTCAGGCTGTTTATTTAACTGTTGTCACCTTTGAGGAAAGTCAGACACTTGATACAAATTTGGAATAGAAAATGAAATATCAGTTATATTTTTCTAATATGCAATGAGCTTTTAAATACTTATGAGAATAGATTTATGGTATGCAGTCCAAAAAGCGCCATGGGGTGGTGGTGAGGACGATGACTTCTGAGCAGGAGAACATTCATTTACCAGCTGGCTTTGCTGAATTTATAGTGGCGAACTAGTGATTGTCTAACCTACGAGAATTACGTACTGAGAAATAAAGAAGCTTCATTCCCAAAGAGAGGGAAAAGACTTTTTTTTTGGAATTCCATGTACTGAATCAAAATTGCTTTTACAATCTAAGGGATTTTATTTTGGTTCTTCTCTATTATTAAATTTATATGTAGTTAAATTTAGGCATTAAAAAATGACCAACCTTCACAATTTTGGGCATTCATGTAATCTTAACACACCAAGTGGCTTTGAACTTTAGAAACACTTTTAATACAGTGAACATATTTTATATATACTAGCAGTACCACAGCATCAAGTATTTGCAAGAGTTTCAAAATATGAATATAACTATGCCTTGCCTAAATTTATTTGGTATCCGTGACAAATGAGGCAGAAGGTCAAGTCAAAGAATAAAAATGGGCTTTTTCATTTTAACACTGCATTTAATTAAAACAATCATGTTTAGTACAGGTAAAAATGAGGCTGACCAAAGAAAGTTTTGTTTTTAGATGGAGTATGTATTTACTGACATTTTATGAAAAATGTGAATTGACAACTTCAGTGAAAAACATCGCAGTAGTTTCAGTCATCCAATTCATGGTACTGTAAGGAAGTATCTGCATTATTAATCACTTGGGAATCTGTGACTATTTGCCATTAATAAATGTATATCCAACAGTTATGCATGGATAAATATCTTGTAGCTATGATGCTTTTCTGAACTGGTGTCTATTTTAAGGTTTCATCAAAATCAAAGTACAGTTCCTTGAGAAATCTACTTTCGAGGTTCCTTTTTCTTTATTGCTTATAAAAGTATGATTTTTATAATCTGGCTTCTTTGCAATTATATCTCATGGTGACTTGCCTAGATTTTTCCTCTCGGAATATGAAAAGCCTCCAAACTCTATAAAAATGCTGGTAAAAATAGCCATTTACTTTTTCTTTTTTGCTGCAGTGATTCTGTTTTGAAAGAACAGGGGCATGGTTAAAGATATAAAGCTTGTTGACAAGCCAAATTAAATGAAACGGGCTCAATGTTGCAATTCCTGATTTTTGTTCCTATAATAGAATTCTTCGTTTTGGAGGATGAAAGAGAATACTGGCTAAAGACATTTTTCTAGAATCGAAATGAACTGTGGTCGAAGTTACTTAAATACAGAAGCTGTGATATTTGTGCTGCAGGCAATAAACTTTCACCACTGACATAAAAACATGCATGCAGCTTGCAGATTGCCAACAGGGTCTGTGCAGAATCATACTGATGAATGGACTTCACAATATAGGTGAACAAGGGGACACTGTAACATGAGCAACAGAAAAGCAAAAGACAACTGCCATGGGGTTGGTCTTTTGTCCCGTAAGATTTATTTTATACGTTTATTAAGGTGTTGTCAAAACTATCCTTTTCAACGAGGCTGTCGGTGGTGGAAAGCGTGTCTTGGAATGTGTTCTCTTTACACCTCTGAATGAAGTGTCAGTCATCAGGGGACTGGTGTGTGTGCAGAGCATAGAGTGGAACACAACAGGACAGCCTGACAAATCCCAAACAGAACAGACAGCTCGTGATTCCACTCCCTACATTAGGGTCCTTAAAAGAGCTGGAAAGAGAAATTTTGGTAAGCTTCCAACCACATGCATTTAGCAAGCTGCATTCCCATTTGCAAGCATCATCCCTGAAAACTCCTTAAGGTGAGGAACAGTGGAGAAATCTGCCTCCTGCCTGTTTTATCTATTTATTTATTCATTTATATACTTATTTTAGAAATGTGGAGGCTAGAAGAAATTGACGGTGAAACCTCTAGTCTGATTTTTACAGAGAAGAGTTTCAGAGACAAGGCTTCAGGTCTAAAACTTTGTATTTTTACTGTCTCCTTGCATTTTTGCAGTTGTCTACTTGAAGCATTTTAACCCTTCAACAGTTTTCCCTAGGCTTGCTTTACTGTAATTCAAACACCTCTGGAAACTGCTCGTGGTGCTGCTTTAACAGAGCACCATCTTTCAATAGTTTTCTGCAGTTTTCTTTTTAAGCTAGGCATTGTTTTAAGGCTGTCCCTAAGTGTTCTGTAATCAAGTCCTCACCTAAATCAGTTCAGGCTCCAAGTACCTGGGATCATTCACTTTTTCCTTGATTTGCCAATGAACTGCAAACCTCCTAGGACTATAGATTCGGTCTTGCCAGAAGGAGAATAACAGCCGATGGGAAGGATTACTTATGAAAGAAGTTTTGTCTTAAAACAAGTGTGACATTAATGGAATCAATAAAGGGTCTTATACAATAGGCATTAAATTAAAGCAGAATTCAAGCTTCACATTGATTGTGGTATTTAAATTTCAATGGGTTAATTATGTATGAAAGTAAAATGACCAGTATTAATGAGTGTACTAAAACGGACAGGGAAGGACCTTGCCAGCAAAGGGAGAGGGAGAGGGGTAGGGAGAGGGGCACCACATTCCCTTTATAGTCACCAGAGTTCAATAAAGCACCACTTATTTCCCAGCTTTTAAGAGCGCTTTTATCACAATGGTTCATACCTCACACTCCCTGGAGCCCGATTTGTTATAGGTGCAGGGTCCCGTCCCATTCAGCAGCATCTCGCTGGTCTCCGTGTTGGTGGGTTTATAATCTACATAAAATTCCTGCGTGCTGGGAGTCATTTGCTTTAGGGACTGTCTTTTCTTTTTCCTGTGCCTTCGCATGAGGGAGCGCTGCTGCAGCTGCTTCATGCTGGCAGGGTACCGCTTCCACGACACATAGATAACAAGAAGGATGACGAGCACAGACAGGAAAAGGGCCACGCTCCCTGCGATGATTTTATGGAAAGAGATGTGCTCAGTGTCAGCATCGGTCTCTGGGCCAGGCTCCGTGGCTCCCACTGTGGGGGGCAAAGGGGGTTTGCTCTCATGCTTCGGCCTGGGGAGCTTGGGCTTAAATGTCGGCTTTGGGAGAGCCCTGGCCAGATCAAACCTCTCCGTGGTACTTTTGCCACAGATGCTGTAGTTCTTCACGGCATCGATGACATTTACTCCTTGCAGCTCTTTGGGACTGGCACAGATAATTGTATTCTCCCTCAGTCCTTTAAAATTTTTCAGCCAGTTTACCAGGGAACAAATATTTCTGCTGCATTCCCATATATTCCCGGCAAGACTGATGTCATTGAGGGATATCCAAGAATCCAAAATCTCTTGACCAATAAATGTGAGCTTGTTGGAATCCAGGTTGAGGCGCTGCAGATTTGGGACACACTGGAAAACACTAGGTCCACTAAAAGCTTCGATCTCATTGCCTGATAAATCAAGCCTTTGTAATGAACTCCAGGTCCAGGACATGGTCTGTCCTATGACACTGATTTTATTCCACTGCAAGTAAAGGTTCTGAAGGCTCACCAACCTTGGAAAAAGGGCCAGATTGAGCTTAGAAAATTGATTGTGCTCCAGGTGAAGTTCTTTGAGTCTGATCATGCCTGCAAAGACATTCCTGGCTAAACTTCGGATCCGGTTATATCCCAGGTCCAAAAGTTCCAGGTTGCGGCAGTCTTGGAATATTCGCACGGGGATGTTTCTCAGGGAATTAGATCGTAAATGTAAACTCAGCAGCTTTCGCAGACCCCGAAACTGTTCAGATCCCAGAGAATGCAGCTGATTATAGGACAGGTCCAAGTTCCGTAAATTTGTCACAGGTCTGAAGGTATTGTTGAGAAAATAGGAGATTCTGTTGGAACTCAGAATCAACTCTTTGAGTCTGCGTATTCCATTAAAAGCATTCTCATCAATATTGCTGATGTGGTTATGGTCAAGGTACAGCCAGGTGAGCTGGTTGAGCCCTTTAAATTGATTATACTTAAGTTTTTGAAGGCTGTTATAGCGAAGGGACAAACCTAAGCAACCAGCAGATATACTTGAGGGTATCTCCTGTAATTTCTGAGATTCACAATATACCATTTTGCCTTCACACCTACAGCCCTTAGGGCATCCTCGTTCGGCAGAAGAAAGCATTGTCAGTAAGACAGTGGGGGCTATAACCAGTGCTACAGCTGATCCGCTCAGTAGCCTAATTACATTGAAACCTGGAAATAAAAACAACTTAGAAAAGTTATCCCCCCAAAAAAGGAATTCATTTATTTTTTAATCAAGCAAAAATAAGCATGTATTTTCTTTTTTAGAAATTTAAATCTAGATAAAGACATTTAACATCAAATAGCATCTCCTTATAATTTAAAGAGAATTGTCTTTAGGCTTTTTTTTTTTTTAATAGTTAAGCAAGGAAACATGGCAACTAAGCAATCGAATTTATAGTCTTAGAGCAGAGCAAGGTAATCTCTACAATAATTAAGGCAGAATTAATTTACAGATTAGTGGATTTTTTGTTTTTGTTTTTTTAAGAAGAAAAGAAGAAAAATGACAAAACATACCCATCCTTTGTATTGTTCAAAGGTCGTCCTTAGGTCTTTGTTTTGGCTTAGGGGGCCACTTGCATGACAGCCCCTGTCAGCTGCACTGTAGTGAGTCAGGGCTCGCTGACACCCAGGAAGAAAAATTGGACCCCTTGGGAGATGGACCGATTTTGGAACATTATTCTTTGCCAGCCACGCAGAACACTCCAAGAACAAATAAATCCCAACACCGCATTTGCAGCAAAACATCAAAATCTTCCTAGGTAATAGGATCTTCATGAATATTACGTTTTTGCATCTTTACAGTTTTTTTGTGGGGGGGGGGCGGTGTAAAAAAAAAAAAAAAAACTGGCTTCTACAATTTCTTCTTATCGGAAAGCAAGATGTATTCCTTCAGGCAACGTGAGGCTACCTGAGCTGCCACATCTGTATCCCATAGCCCAGCATTTCTGGTGGCGAGCACCCACTTCAGCCACAGCGCTGCATTGGAGCCCGGAAGGCAGGAGAGCCCCGTACCGTGCACACGCTCAGCTCACTTCTGCAGACTGTCATTCCGAAAGCTGCTCGGACTGTTGCTTTGGTTTTAGTGAATGCAGTCTTATGTAAAGCTGCCCCCAGTGGTGAAGAACATTATGGGCATGTGCAGAAATGTCTCTCTTTTATCTTGCAAATGAGCAGGCTTTCTGTTGGAAAATGAATGATTCTTTTGGGTCGCTCGATAGGAACTGAATGGTCACCGTAATCAATAACTAGCAACATTTTCTGTAATTTCCAAGTCTTGTTTTACAATTTGGCAACGTCTTTATTGTCTGCATCCACTTAATCGCTAAACATGCGCTGCCCAGAGTTTTTCTTGAGCTTGACATTAAGTTCACAGACCGAATGTCAATTTTTCTTAACCTCAACATAGCTTTGAACTGAAATTTATAAAATGAATTACTGAGCTGCCTGCCCATTTGACCTCTTGGAGTCACAGCGATTATATTATACAAGGTGTCTCAGGATGCTAGAACACATACATTTTTTTGGAGTAGAGAGGATAACTAGTGACATATAAACTAATGTGTCCAATAACCTCTCTGGTTTTCCCACAAAAGACATAATTGGTTTCATGGCTTATGACATGGTTTGTTGTTTTGGTTGCTGTCATTTTATTTTTTTAATTACAAGAGAAATAAGCCATATTTAGTGTGAGTACAAGAATCAAGAGATCAGCTGGTTCAGTTTATTGATGCTGTTACTATTACACGAGCAATATTTATTGAGCACTTTCTAAGTGCTTTAAATGGGCTATCTTATTCTATCTGTAAACAATATTATGATGTAGGTCCCATTATAACCTTCATTTTGAAGATGAGGAAACCGAGACTTGGAAAGGTAACTTGCTCAAGGTCATATAGCAAGCAAGTGTCAGAACTGAGATTTAGAACCATAGCTCTCTTAGCTTACACCTCTAACTGCTAGATGATCCTACTTCAACAACATTGTTATCTTCACTTTAAAATGAGCCAAATGAAAAGTCATTGTGTCAGGGAAGCCTGTAATAAAATAAAATTCTTGATTTCTAGAATAGGTTTTCATAAACTTCTTTGGTATGAGTCTTCTAACAAGAATCATAAAAACTAAAGAGGAGAAGCTTAGCCTACTGATTAAGAGGATGAATTTTTGCACCTAGGTTCAAATCCTGGCTGTACTTTACCGGCTCTGTAACCTTCACTAGGTTACTTATCTTCTCTATGCATTAGTTTTCTCTTCTGCAAAATGGGCATAATAACAAAATTCCGTTCCATAGAGGGTTTGAGAATTAAGTCATCTAAATGTCTGTGAAGTACTTAGAATAGTAAGTGGCACGTGATAAGCCTGTGTCAGCTGTTATTTGAATAATATCAACTTTACTGTATTTGCTGGTATTGCGTGTTATTTAGTATTGAATATTGAGTATACTCACTTTCATTTACTCACAAAGAACTACTTCAATGAATATTTTTTATATTGTTTACAGTGGATTTCTGAGATCCTTTCAGTCTTGCCTTCTTTGATGAGACGAGTTCCTAAATTGCCGTCATCTCAACTTTATCTTTAAAATGAGTATCTAGTGGACCATAACTAGTAATTAATGTTTGATTATTTTCTTCCCAGAGCAGAATATGGTAACATGTGCCCCACAGAGAAAACCATTTTGTTTAAAAATAAATGGTAATTTTATAAAAAATAAAAGTGTTAGTCTTAGTTAGATGAATTGGCTGTGGAAAACCCTGGAGAGCTTTCATATCTTCTAAGGATGAGAAGCTTGGTAACAGTCATGATAATCAAAAGGGATCCCATAGACATCATGCAATTCCTCAGATAGTATGCCATTAATAGGGCAGTTTCCTCCCAATTATTCTTGCTATCAATGCGCATAAAGCCCCCAGAGAGCTTGTTAAAAAGATAAATTTCCCAATCCCTCCCCCAAGATTTTGATTCAAGGGGACGGAAGAGGCTACACTTATCAACAGACTCTGATGGACAACTTGGTTTAAAAAATGCACTGTAAGGGAATGAATAAAAATAATAAATTTTCTCCTAGTAGGAAGAGAGGACATATAAATCTATGACATTGTGATAATAGATTCTATGAGGACAAAGACAATGTTTTGTCTACTTCAGTTTTCCTGAAACCTGCAATAGCGCTTGGCATATCATAGATGCTCAATAAAGATTTATTTAACAAATAAATTTTTATGGGGGTCACAGGTACATTTGATGTAGGATAAACTGGTTATGTAATGCTAGTCTTGTGTACATGGGATTGATCCCTGAAAAGTTCCTTGGCCAGTGAGATTGGATACAGTCTTGGAGAAAGTGTTCTTAAAAAATGTGTGTTATAAGGCAAGAAACTGGGAAGCGGAAATACTCACATGGTCAGCAAGTGATCTTCACTTTTCATGTAGATATCTCTTGTCTTCATCGTTAAACCATAAATTTTATGAGAATAGTAAGTATAGGTTTGAATATTCCCTTTGGCATATTACAACTTTTATCATCTAACATCCCAAATAGGGCTTGGCAACTTGTATCTATTAAAAAAAGACTAAAGGGAATCATATTTATAACTCCTCTATCATATCTCTGTTGCTTGAAAGGCTCTGATTTTTTCTCTTCACCATCCTTGCTTCTCCAAGGGAAGCAGCTATCCGATGTCTGTTTTGCCTAACAGCTGCAGAGGGCTGCTCTAGGATGGCCGGAGGCCCCATCAACTTTGTGTTTCTTATTCTTCTCTCATTCCCTGACAGAAGCACAGATGAGCCCACTGAGAAGGTAATTCTCTCACTTTGCTTTTCCTGGGAGAAATCTTCTTGGATCAATTCTGGTGAATAACATTTGCTGCTGCGTCATACACCTTGCCCTTAGTTTTTAGACATTTTCCTGGTACCTTGGCTTCTGATCTTATTTTGCTCCATAGTTCTGACTTCACATTCACCTTTTGGATTTCAAAATTGATATTTTCTCTTAATGCTGATTATTGATCTCTTCCTCAGTAGTGATCAGTAGCCATTCTTGGATTGGGTCTGACTCCAGGCCCTCTGTGTGGCTCCTACTTTGGCACTAGCTCTTAAGCCAGTACCACCACCAGGTCTATCCTGGTTCAAGGTAATGAAGTGCCTGAAGAGGGAAGACCAGTCAAGAGGCTAGTAGAGAAATGCAAAAATAAAATAATGCAACGCTAAACCAGACTGAATACTTGAGGCTACAGAAATCACTCCCAAGACATCGAGTAATCTCTCAAAAGAAAAACAAAACCTTGTATTCTAAAAGATTTTAGTAATTTGCTGGTTACTTTTTAAAGTTTATTCTCCTTTTACTTGTTGACTACAGCAAGATGATTATTTCTTACTTGCCTTTCAAAAGAAGCAAAATTATACTACATTATGTATTTAGCAAATTCTTTTGCACTTAACACCACATACAGAAAAAAAAACAAACTACCGGACAACTTAAATTTCCCCAATGAACCTAGGGCCTTAATGATTTATATTCTTATGGAATATAATGTCATGTAGCTAAAGACTTTTTTTTAATTGCACTGATAGTACCTCAAATAGCTTGACATATTTTGTTTAAATTGGGTAAATAAATCCAATCTTACTTATATGATGGCAAATTTCAGTGTAATATGAAACTGAATTGCCATATATAAACTTAGAAAATCAGGGCTTAAAGTGGATATACTGATATCTTAACAATGGGTTGTTCTCAGAGATTTCATTTATTTAACAGTTTGGGTACCGACTAAGTCCTAGACATGGTTCCAGACACTTAGAATATATCAGTGTACAAAACAAAGATCTAAGCTTACATTCTGAAGGGGTAAGATGGACAATAAAAAACAAACATAAGTAGTATATTATTAGGTAGTGTGTACTATAGAAAAGTAAGAAAGATAGTGAAGATTAAGAGTGGAAGGGGTGAGATGGATCGTAGTTTTAAATAGGATGGTTAGGGCCACTAAGAAAGTGGCTTGAACAACCCTTGAAGGAGGTGAGGTTGTTAACCTTAGATATGTATGGGGAGTGACCAGTGCAAAGGCCCTCTGTGGGAGTATATAGTGTGTTCATTGACTAGAAAAAAGGCCAGTCAGTCTTAGAGTGGAGAGAGCAAGTGGGAGAGTAATTGGAGATGAAGTCAGAGAGGGAATATACTCTAAAGGGACAAGAGTAGTAAGGAGTAGTAAGGGAAGCCAGTAAGGAGGTTATAATACCAGTCAAGAGAGATGATTGTGGCTTGGGCCAGTATGGTAGCAGTGGGAGTGGTGAGAATTGGTTAGATTCTAGATTTATGTTTAGGTAAAACCAACAGGAGTTTTTTAATGGATTAGAAGTGAAGGTATGAGATAAAGAGAGAAATTAAAGATGACTGCTGGGGCTTCCCTGGTGGCGCAGTGGTTGAGAGTCCGCCTGCCGATGCAGGGTACACGGGTTCGTGTCCCGGTCCGGGAGGATCCCACATGCCGCGGAGCAGCTGGGCCCGTGAGCCATGGCCGCTGAGCCTGCGCGTCCGGAACCTGTGCTCCACAACGGGAGAGGACACAACAGTGAGAGGCCTGCGCACCGCAAAAAAAAAAAAAAAAAAAAAGATGACTGCTAGTTTTATGGGCTGAGCAACTGGAGGGATGGTACAGCCATCAGCTGCTTCTGTAGGTCAAGTTCGGGGAATAACACCAAGAGTTCAACACATTTGAATTTTGTTTGAATTTGGTTCTCAACTTTCTTCAGTTTTGTGAGACTTTAATTTTTGCAAACATCTTCTTGTTATTAGGCCTTAAAGAACCATGATGTATTTTAAAATCATTTGTAAAATGACAGAGCAAAATTAGGCACTAACAATAGCAACATGGATTTCTATTCAGATGGTCTGGACAGTGGCAACATCTTTGCAAATTGTCTTAGAAGGCAATGGAATCAAAAGCTTTGATGAAAACTGAAAATTACATAAAGACAAGATATGGGAACATGTGGACTAAGAGTTTTAGGAAATAAATTCGGTAAAAATCCAAAATGTTTTTCTAGAATAATATAGAGAATGACACATACTTT